ATCGACAGGCACTCATGTACATAGAAAAGTTTGAAAATCACATAGCAAGAGGCAAGTTCCTTACTACAGCTTTTAATGATCCAGTTCACCGAAGGCTTATTATCTGTTCCTCGTTTTTCTCCTTCACGTGCCGACTATGGGAACAGGAGATACTCTGAACACGACAAAGAACAGCCTTCCAGATTTGAGGCGCTGTTTCAAGGCCTGTAATTGTAGGTTTCCATGTTCTTGAAACGCAGCTCCTTGGAATGAACAGCTGTGGTTCACTGGTTAGTGTGGAAGTCCACCTTGCCTCGAAGGGTCTTAGTAGGACTGGTGGTGTGTGGTGGGGCACATTCGCGGCTTCCTCGCCGGGTGTTGTCAGACCTCCTGATGGCCCGAACCAGCCTGCCCGGCTACGGGAATCCAGGCCCAGTGCTCCCAGACAGGAAAGTGAGGTTTCCTGAGTCCAAGTGTCCTGTGTCATCAATGCAAAAGTCTCCGAGGAAACTGGAGCCTGTCTGACTTTACTCAAAAGGACAAAATAATAAAGAATACCAACTGGAAGCCTCTGGCCTCAGGCCAGAGATATGCAGAAGCTCTGAAGCTCAGCCTTTAGCAGTCCCTGCTCTGGAGATCTCAGGGCACAAACCACAGGGTGAGCTGGAAGAGGTGGGCTCAGAGGTTACCTGGCCCACTTTATACCACCCGGTGAGAAAGTAAGTACAGGGAAGTTAAGTGATTTGTCCAAAGACACACGGCCAGTCCATGACAGAGCCTGGACTGGAACCCAAGCCTCCTGGAGGCCGAGTGCATAGTGAGGAACATAGCAATTGCTTAAGACACAGGAAACAGAGTGAGCAGAGACCGAATTAGATGCTGAAAACTAGGCACGAAAAACTATTGGTATCTAATGAGATTATTTTCAGAGTAATAATATAATACTAACCATAAATTACCACAGTGAACCTGAACCGTGCCAGGCACTTTACTGAATGCTTCCCACACATCCTTCCTCTGCGACGAAGATGTTTATTCCCATTTAACAGATGGAGAAACTGAGGCTGGAAGAGGCTAAGTTAAGTTGCCCAAGACCACACAGATACTGAGAGGAAATGTCAAGATTTTCCCAAGTCTTGCTGCTCACAAAACCTGAGTCTTGACTTGTTATGATATTGACTTTAATCAAAAATAGGGGCAAGGAGCCCCTATTTATTTTAGGTTCCCATATGTCCATACCCAAAACTGAGACATCTCCCAGAGAAAGTCGGGACATAAAGTTAAGGCAGAAATTATAAAATTATCTGAGACATATATTTTCATGAATTGAAAGTATGCTGCTAGAGTTACATGGGGGCGGTAGAGATGCATTTGGGATTGGGCTTGGGGATATGTATGTGTGTGCTATACGGTAAACACCAACTCTCTTTGTGTCTTTTCCTGACATTTAAGGTAGAGCCAGAATTCTCCCAGTAGACCAGACCAACAGAATGGGGCTTGTTTTTTTCAACTTTAACATCCAAAGGATATATTAAAGTTGGTCGGACATTGACACTGCACTCCAGGGCCGATCTGAACACTTGACAGGGCTGGATTCCAGAAGGTC